ATAAAATATCTCTCTCCTTATTTGAAGGATCTTATATCATTTTGTTAAGTTTTTCTTCATAATGTCTAGATGTAGACATTGTGGTTAACATTGCAGAGAAAAACTTACCAAAAACACATATGACCGTGGAAAAACAGAGAGAGAAATGTCATAAAATCAATCTTTTGTGTCTATCTCTCTCATGCCACATGTACCCCGTGCACATTATATTGTAGCATTGTAGATGCTCTCAGGGGCAGCACAGATTCATAGGAGCGGCACAACTTTAGCATGGTGACAACTGAAATTCCATTTCTATTCCCTTGAAATTTGTGTGTTCTATGTAATAACATAAAAATACTATTACTACATTTGTCTCATAAACACTGAGATCTGAGGCTATTAAAAAAAGTGAGTTTATGTGATTATTACTCGTATTAAATTTATAAAGTAAAATTAAAGTAGAAATGATTTAAATACACTCAAACTTTATCAATTTGATATGTGATCATTATAGTGGAATTTTCCAAAAAAGAAAAATGGAACAACATTAGAGAAATAGAGAGAGTTGAAATTCATTATCCTTGTAAATCTTTCAAAATCAAAATTAGGGACCGCCTTCAATGCTAGCAAATTGTCCATAAAACTAAACCCTAGACTTGTTCGAGGAGCAAATTGTCGTTATTAAAGAAAGATCGAGAAGCAGGAACCTCAAGCCAACTATGAAAAGAGATCCTATGAATAAATAGGAAGGATACTTATAATTGGACTAGATTTCGTTCCAAACAAGTTCAGACTTAACAAAATTAATTCAAACAAAAAAACGAGATCATATGAGGTAAAGCACAACTGCTCTTTTATATTTCCATATTAATTCGACTCAAACCTCTGTTAGTTTATTCGCGTATAATTCGCGTATAAAACACTCGAACGTATAATTCACGAATAATACTCCCTTTTATGAATTTTTCAATTGTTTTTGAAAAATTCACGTACTTTAAGAATAAAATGTATAATACACGCACCCTACGTATTGATACGTATTTTATTACGTATAATACTCTTGTTTATGAATTTTTCAGAAAATTCTGAAAAACTCACATACTTTAAGGATAAAATGTATAATACACGTACTGTACGTATTGATACATATTTTATTAAAGGGGGAATTTGACTTTGCACCCCATTTTTTGAGTGATATTGGACTTTGCACATCATTTTTAAAAAAATTGACTTTGCACCCCAACTCATACCATTTTGTGAAGAAAAACTTCCAAGTGGGGTGCAAAGTCAAATGAATTTTAAGTGGAATGGGGTGCAAAATCAAAGTTTTTTTAAAATGGGGTGCAAAGTCCAATATCAACCAAAAATTGGGATGCAAAGTCATATTCCCCTTATTAAAAAAACACACCATTAAAGGGAAGCCTAATGGAGTGATACAACTGAAACAAAATGCATGTCAAGCTACTCAATATTATTTATATTGCTTAAAAAAATGTTATGCCTTATATGTTCTCTAATTGTTTAACGGTCATTACATTTAATAAATTAGCCTCTTAAATTCGTAATCTGTTTTAATATTTCTATTGTACTACTACTGTATTACTTTTGTTCTCCACCCATACCAAGATTCCAAAGAGATAAAAAAATGTTGTGGCGGCTCACTAAACTTATGGTCAAAGTAATATAAACTATTTTCTAGTAATATCTCTCCACTTCTACTTAAATAGGAAATGTCATTTTTATTACGTATTGTACCTATGCATTTAAATCCGTAAATCTAAAAAAACTCTTCCGTACATTTTAAATTGTTGAAGATTGTGGTGCAAATGTTAAATAACTCTTTATTTCTATCATTAAATAAGTATGTAAGACACATATTATATGCCGTATTTTTAAATTGTGAAACGTTTAAAACGCGTCCATATCTTTAAATTTTTTACAAACGTATGAAACATATATTAAGCCGTATTTTATATAAATGTATTGTATTATACACGGACGTACGCATTATTGTATTATTCACGTACCGTATATTACTAACAAAGACTCAAACAAGCAATATTAGATGAGATTAAACAAAAACTGCTCTTTTATACGTAGTATTTTACTATTTTGTAAAAATCGGATTGGGAAGTGATCCAGCTACATGATTGGATCACACGTCAACTTGGACTCGGGTGGGCCAACCCTGTCAACACTAGGAAACCGGTCAACACTTGTATAATACTTCCAAAAATTAACTTCTCGATCAAGTTACGATGTTTGACTGACGATAAAGCAACTCGATCTCTGTTCACACTCGGATTATTTTTAGTAAATAAAATTTACATATTCAGAAACTACATTAAAACCGCTACAAAGTCTGATCAAGAAAATTTCAATTTGATAAAAAATTGATATATAAAGTAAAATATTAGGAGTGATTCAAGTTGACCAATGAATAGTGACTGTGAAGTTGTTTTGGGACAAAGGAAGTAATAAACGGAGTGGGATCCTCTGTCGCACGGCAGAGTGCCTTGCGCGCAGAGGACCGTCGGGTGGGAGAAGAGCGGCCTCGGGATCTGCACTTCAACATCTCCGACCATCCATCTTTTGATCGGGTGGTTCCCGAGGGCCGGAGAACCGTGCCTTGCTTTGAAGTATGGCAGAGGTTCCGGATCCGTAATAAACATATACGGATTAATTATATATAAAACTAAATAAAAAAATATTTATACTCATAGTGATTGTAATAATCAATAATTTTGGTCTAATTAGGATGTTTTTTAAGGTTGCTGGTCTGGTCTGGTCTGATCTGGTCTAGTCTGATCTAATGGACGTCTGGTCTCTATGTATTTTGTAACTACGGAAGTTTGGTCTGATCTAGTCTGGTCTGATCTAATCTGTTCTGGGACTGAAAACCGTCCAAAAGAAAACATCCTTAGGCTATTAGCATTAATAAAATGATTTGTTATTTGTATTGGTACATTATAATGTAATGGCTAAAGGGTCAAATAGGCCCTTGAACTGTCTTAAAGTGTTCAATTAGTCCCTTATATAGGAGGTTCTGCCAGGCCATTGCCAATTGGAGCAGTTCCCGGTGGAATTTTTTGATGAAATTTTTTGAGCATCTTTTTCATTAAGTCTAGTTCACTCATACCAAATTTCAGCTAAAAATTCAACCGGGAAGACAGTCAAATGATTTTCCGAAATGTAATGTGTTGTTTAACTTCGTAATTGTCTTCAAAAAAAATCATTTGACTGCCTTGCCGGTTGAATTTTTAGCTAAAATTTGGTATGAGTAAACTAGACTTAATGAAGAAGATGCTCAAAAAATTTAATCAAAACATTCCACCGGGAACCGCCCCAATTGGCGACGGCCGAGCAGAATCTCCTATATAAAGGGCTAATTGAACATTTTAAGACAGTTCAATGAAATATTTGACCTTTTAGCCTAATTTAATTTGATACTCTTTATAAATTCCTTTCCTATATACTATGTAGATACATAAATAATTTAATATACCCCATATTTTTTGCATCTAGGGTATTGATTGATTAATGTCCTCTTAATGTTGCAATATGATTGATTTGTAAAGATAAATGCGTAAAAACAAAAGAAAAATCTTTTCTAAAAAAAGTTTAGAACCGGGGTTTTCCGGGTTGTCCGGGTTTTTTCGATCTGGGGGATCGGGCTTTTCAAGGTTTTGGTCATTTTGAGGTTTTTAACTATTAGAACCGGGTCGACCCGGCCGGTCTGGGTCTCTTCAACATAGCCTTTTTACTCTAATCCCGAAATTAATTTGCTAATTTCTATTTGAAAGAATGGCACACGTATGATCTGGACACTTTTGAAAGACCAAAATATGACTCGTTTTGATTTTTCTAAAAATGTGATCTAAAAAATTCAACTTTCAGTCTATGGCTCCATCTCCACTTCGTAACGAACCGACGACTCTCCTTATCCCTCTTGGAACAAACTGTGCATCTCCTCTGTCCAGATCTACCAGCAATCGGCAATGGATTGAAGGAGATGACCAACGCCGACTTCCTTGTAGCCAACGCACGCACGCCGCCGTTGCCGTCTTCATCTCAGCAACCCTTGTCGTCGCTGTTGTCTTCGTCAAAGCCAACACACGTCGCCGGTGTTGTCTTCGTCGCAATCAACCCCCACCGCCGCTGATTTCTTTGTCGTAGCCAACCCATTCCATCTCGTCCATGTCTGCACTCTTCTTCTTCCCCTGACTCTGGCCGAGGCTACGGCTTGACACAACAGAGGTTGGGGATTGAGCGTGGGAATTGGTGCGTGGAAAATGGTGCGCTGACTCTTGGTTAGGCTAATTGGGGCTAGATTGAGGCTAGGGATGGGTGGATTGGGGGCTGGAGATGGATGGATTGGGGGCTGGGCTGGTCGGACTAGGAGATGGGGATGGTGGTTACTGGTTAGAGCATATCAGGGGGCGGGGCTCTAGGTGGAAGGGGCTGGAGCTGGAGATTGGGGGTTTTCCGGTGCTGGGCGTTGGGACGGGAAGGTGGAATGGACGTAGGCAGTGTATGGGTAGAAGCAGTGGCAGTGATATGGTGGTGTTCAGTGATAGCCTGGCCGGAATTACAGTGACCGGAGTAATTGTGTGTCAAAGCGGAGTTGTATGGTAATGTCACTACCTATGTGTCACTGTGGCGGGAGGCGGCGGCGTAATTGCGGCGGTGTTTCTGTGACACGGTCGGTGGCTGCAGTGACACGGGCGGTGGCCGCAGTGACACGGGCGGTGGCCGTAGTGACACGGGCAGTGGCCACAGTGACACGGAAAGTAGCGGCAGTGACACGTGCGGTGGCTACAGTGACACAGACGGTGGTTGTAGTGACACGGGCGGTGGCTACAGTGACACGGGCGGTGGTTGTAGTGACATGGGTGGTGGCTGGGCGGTGGTTGCAGTGACATGGGTGGTGGCTGTAGTTACAAAAAAACGAACACGCAGTGACATAAACTTTTTTTCTAATTGCACATATATGACCTTCTTGATCACTTTTTTGCCTCTTTTTAAATGTGATCACTTTTTGGATAATTGGTTCAAAATTAGTAATATACAAGTAAAAAACCCTTTCTATTTTTAGTGAAAATCAATGGCAAGCCTAATACTACGGTAAAAAAGATACGGAGTAAAGACACAACCTCTCTTCCATTTCCATTTTAAAAATTACTTTTTTATACCCTATTTTCGCACATCTGCAAAAATATACCGCGGCAGAATACTCCGAGCAAAGGTGAAACAACTCCGATTTCAGAAGCCCATATCACTGCATTTGAATCGGTTCACCCTCCTCTGCGGTGGGAAGCTGCCCATTGTGGGTCATGAAATTCCTCACCTCTCTCCTGATCATCTTCTGCAACTCCGTCAAAAACGCCGGGCTGAACAGAGGATATTTCCCGACCGTTTGAAGTGGCGGTGGCGCGTCCGAATGGGGAAAAGAAACCGGCGGAATATTATTGTTTCCGGTTGCCTGATTCGGATCCCCACTTCGCCCGGGCAAAGAGAGACTGAGAGCGGTGAGCGGGTCGGGCATTTCGGTCTCCGTGAATGGAGGAAAGAATCTCTCCCCGCTCAAACCGGATTCCCGTGGACTGCCCGAATTCGGCTCGAGGCCCGAAACAGAGGATCTCTTCAACGGCTGACCCGGCAGAGAATCGGGCAGTCCCGCCGCCGACTTGCGCTTCAGGCTAGCGTTCCAGTGGTTCTTAATGGCGTTATCCGTCCGACCCGTAAGCAAACGGGCGATGGTGGCCCACTTGTTTCCGAACTTAGAATGGGCCCGGATTATAGTCTCGTCCTCCTCCGGCGTGAACGGCCGGTGCTCCACTTCGGGTGAGAGCTGGTTGCACCACCGGAGCCGGCAGGACTTCCCGGACCGGCCGGGAATGGATTTGCCGATGAGTGACCAGTTGCGCGGGCCGTGCTTCTCCACCAGCCTCTGCAAGAGCTCGTCCTCTTTGGGGCTCCAAGGACCCCTGACCCGATCCGATTCCATAACCAAATCCAAAACTGCCCCGGAATTGGGCGGGTGATATAAACGGGGAGACGGCGAGTTGACGGTTATGAGCATAGCTGGCATGGTACACGCGTCGAGCTGTGGGATACGCGAGTGGACACGTATGATTCAGGCGTTACTGAAATCGCGGGGATTCGAAAGGAAGGAAATCAGGAAGTTGGATTCAGAATGATTTATTATTACCCGGAAAATAAGAAATTGGAGCCTGTTTGGTGATATGCTTTTGCGCTAATCCTATTTAAGAGGCTGTTTGACAACACTATTTTTCGGCTTATCACGTTAATCAGCCAATTTTTTTTATCAAATACGTAATTTTTGTTTTCGCGCGCAGAATTGTGTAATAAGCAGAAAGAGTTAGGTTGGAGTTACTTTTCCGACTGTATTGACTGAAGTTACTGTAGATGATAATTTTAGCTATTTTACATATAATTTTTTCTTTATTTTATTAATAAAATATATTTTAAAAATAATTTTTTCTTAAATCAGCAGAATCAGCCAATGCAGTCACTTCACCCAGAACTTCATAAATTCCAGCTGAATCAGCCAAAACAGCTGATTTCCATGCTACCAAACGGCCTCTAAATAACCAACTTTTTCATTAACATGTATAAATATGTATTGATTTCATGTGATAGATTGTGTAATATAAAAAAAATAAGACTGTAGTTACTTTTCTGACATTATTGACTGAAGTTAATACTCCCTCCGGTTTTTAATAAACTTCACACTTTCCTTTTTGGGACGGTCTAAAATAAACTTCACACTTCCTTATTTCCTTTTTTGGCAAAGAAATCTACACCAAAACAGTGCCAAACAGTGTCTCAACAGTGCCAAACAGTGTCTCTACAGTGCCAAACAGTGTCAAACAGTGTCTCAACAGTGTACTCTACAGTAAAGTCAAATTTCATTCCTTATTTTGTGTGAAGTCAAACTGTGAAGATTAAAAAAACTCGGAGGTAGTATAAAAGATTCTTTTAGCTATTTTTTTCGAAGTATAATTTTTTCCCTTTATTTTATTAATAAAAAATATTTTAAATATAATTTTTTCATAAATCAGCAGAATCAGTCAATCTAACCACTTCAACGAGAACTTCATAACATTCAATAGAATCAGTCGATGCAGTCAATTCTAAATATGTAAATTATAATTTACTAAAAAATAATCTTATTATTGAAAAAGATCAGTTAATTTAATGGTCAGTCGATCGTAGATTGTGTGACAATCATTTAAGTAGGACATATGAAGTATGTTTATTTAATTATATTCGAATGTCTATTCTTGTTGTTTTGATAATTCGTTTTTCCTAAACACTTAAATTGTTTAAGGTATTTATTTTATAAGTCTTGTAGATTATTTAAGTTTTTGATGAGTAGATTTCAAAATTTAATGGCAAAATTGATCATTTTTTCTCAAATTTGAAAAGAAGTTTTATGAATAACTTGAACATTTTTTAAGTTTAATTTTTTTTTTGAAATAATAATAAATATATTTAGATTGAACCATTTCTTTAACTTTTGAATTGGATCTACAGCTTTTTACAATTAAACATAGTTCACTTAAAAATAATTCAATTAGGTTTGATTTTATTTATTATTAAGATATTTATTTTTTCTTTAATTTTAATTAATTACTTTAAATGTAGGTTGTAATAACTTGACATGGCAGGATTATATGGCACGTCATATGCTCTTAAAAAGTTTCTCTATATGATTGATTTGAAATAATTTCTTAAATAATACTCCTATACTCCACATTGCATACAAAAAAATGCGGGCTAAAATTATCCCATGCGTCATGGATAATGGAGAGCATATTTGGGCCATTTGTAGGCCCAATCTAGGCGGACCAAACTAATGATAGTGTAGTCGCGGGCAGCTGATAACGTTTTCAAACCCCAAAGTCGTTCTCCTATAAGCTTCGTCTCTCAAAAACCCTCACTCTGTATAAACTTGGACAAGCTATTAGTTTACACGGTTGGGTTGAATTAAAGATATTGGTATGTTAGGTTTTGTTTTGTTTGATTTCAAGGCATTGATTACTGGATATTTGATTGTGATCTGATGAGAAATCTTTTGACGATTCAGGATGTTTTCTTTTGGACTGAAATTTGCTGGTCTGGTCTGGTAAACGTTTGGTCTCTGTGTATTTATAACTACGGAAGTCTGGTCTGGTCTGATCTGGTCTGTTTAAGTCTGGTATGTTTAAGTCTGGTCTGGGACTGAAAACAGTCCAAAAGAAAACATTTAAGTATGGATAGTTGACCTAATTTGTCAAACACATCTGATCAAACAGATGTTCAAAATTTTGAAAAAAATGTTACTCTGTTGATATGGATATAAAGAAATGAAGAAAATGAAACGAAATATTCATATGTCTACTGCCTAGCAAGTGTTTTGATTTTTTGTCAAATGAATTATTTGAAGCTGTATGAATGTGTTTGAAGCTGTATCCATCGTTATCCATGTCGATTCTCCCGTCTAACTTGAACTCTTACCCTCTTATTTCTCCTTGTTACGATACAATGATTGGGTTGTAGTCGAGTACTGGGTATCTCAAATTGCTGTTCATTATTCTCACTCTATGTTTGAACCGATTTGAATTTAATAGATAATATTTTTAATTGAATTATGTCAAGTACCTTGTAATCCGATAACATCATCATTGATCTCCCAAAGAGGAGGTCACGAGTTCGAGTCTCATTCCAATCAAGAATATTGGCATTAACTGAAGCAGATACTATAATAGGTTTAAAAAGATATGCAAAAAAAATATTTGAATTATATTTTTTTGGTCTCGTCTAGTCTAATGTATTAAGTCTGATTTGATATAATCTAAAGTAATCTGGTCTGATTTAGTAGGTGATGTCAGTTCTATGTGTGTTTTACAACTTTCAAAGTCTGATTTGATTTAATCTGATATAATTTGATCTGAACTGTTTGAGTCTGGTTTGAGATGAAATCAGAAATCTCTTTCAATTAGAAATCTCCTCCCTAAATTCCCTTTCATCCTAGACGCTACATTGTGAGAGTTGTCTATATATGGTGAGCATCATTCCTTCATACTCCTTGACCTAAAATGATTACATTGAACCACACGATCCTCGCTCGGACATTTTCCCTCCAACGGTTATTCTCTCCAATCCCAATATAAAATGTAAATAACATATTAACATGTATGAAATTACATCCAACTTGCTTCAATAGAAATGCAATCGCATGTAGCGTCAAATGTAAACTCTTAAATTTTGAATTCATTATTAACAATAAAGAATTAGTATAAATAAAGGGTATAAGAAATGCAATCCGCTCTATTAGAAAATAAACTTGCGATAAGTCGAAATGCGAAGTGTTTTAATAGAAAAATGTTTCTTGAGATAATAAGTCAAAATTTGTAAGTTGTCTAATTCCCTATAAAGAAATGTTTGCTACAATAGAGTTTGACACAGTATTTAAGGGATAAGTTGTAGGAGTAACAAATAATGTTGGAAAAGTAAAAGAGATATGGACAAGTATGAAACATAAAATAAAAAGTAAAAAAGTACTACATATCTCCAAAGTTGTAGGAGTATGAGTAATTGAGTATTTTTAAAGGGAAAAAGATATAAAAAATGAAAAATATAGCAAAAATTAAAACATATCTCCAAAATGAAAGTGTAACAAACATTGCAATAAGGAAGAAATATATTGCTTCCGTATTTAAAGCTTGCTTTGGTGAGAACAATCTTGATGAATTTATGTTCACCTTAACTCGGTATACAAACTGGGTTTGTATTAACGCAGTTTAGGTGTCTTTGAGAAAATTGTTTCGTGAAAAATAAAGTTGTAGGACTTTGAGATGATGAGTGTGTTTGAGTGAACTTGGAAATTAAATGGCACAATGAGTTATCTTGGTTCAAATGTGGTGTAATCATCCTATATCCATGACAGCAAGAGTTGGAGTGTTAGGGTGAAAGCTAAGTGCAGAAGTACGTGATTCTGGTGCTCTAATTTACTCCTAAAATCAACTTTTTAGAAGCTGGGGGAGACCAACTTCTGAAAACTGATTCTGATTCTACTTCTACTTTAAAAAAGAAACAGAAGCAGAATCAGTTCCAAACAAAAGCAATAAGGAAGAAATATATTGCTTCCGTATTTAAAGCTTGCTTTGGTGAGAACAATATTGATGAATTTATGTTCACCTTAACTCGGTATACAAACTTGGTTTGTATTAATGCAGTTTAGGTGTCTTTGAGAAAGTTGTTTCGTGAAAAATAAAGTTGTAGGACTTTGAGATGATGAGTGTGTTTGAGTGAACTTGGAAATTAAATGGCACAATGAGTTATCTTGGTTCAAATGTGGTGTAATCATCCTATATCCATGACAACAATTGTTGGAGTGTTAGGGTGAAAGATAAGTGCAGAAGTACGTGATTCTGGTGCTCTAATTTACTCCTAAAATCAACTTTTGGGAAGCTGGGGGAGACCAGCTTCTGAAAACTGATTCTGATTCTACTTCTACTTTAAAAAAGAAACAGAAGCAGAATCAATTCCAAACACCCCCTAAGTTATGCAATCCAATACACTTAGTGTCCAATCTAGTCTTGATCACAGGCCTAGATTGTCAGGTTTTCACATGGAGGACAACACAACTCTAAATTACTCTTTCATCAGGCGTTTCATTCATTAATGACCCTAAATGATTCAAAAGTTATTCAATCATATCCTACTCACACTTTGGATGCCTTCCAAAGATTTTATAACTTATCGATTAACAAGGTAATCTAGCTCCCAACTAAGATTAATTAAGCTCTAAATATACATTTTTGAATGAACTAGTCTAAGAGCTTAAAAGTGTGAGTTAGCTCAGAGAGAAGTGATAGATTTACAATTTCTCTTTGTTAGATCTTCATATAAACTAGTGTTGCATGCTCTAGCTCTCTACTTTTTGTGTTTCACACTTCTTCTATATTTATAGACCATTTCACGTTGAATATCTCTCGTTGGCTTAAGA